CCTAATGTTCCCTACTTCTCAAATCAGGGTTTCCTATTATTGTTGCAAATCTACAGCAAGGAGCAAGGAATCGAAACTCTGAGGCTGGATTCAAGGGCAGAAAGAGGGATCAGAAAGACTAATGGACACCAAAAAAGGCTATAGCAGCAGCTGAGTGCCGAACCAGGGACTAAAGCCCAGCCCAGTGCCAAGAGCAAAGGAAGAGCTCTCTTCGATTTGGGATCCATAGACTAAACTTCAGGTGTACTAGTTCTGTAACAGTCACAAAAGGACTGTTTTGAACTGCACGGTTACTAATATGTGGTTAACGCACTAAAGTATTTTCCTTAACCCACATGAAGAAACAGTCATTGCGGCAAGAGAACTGAGACATGGGCTCAGCTTGGATACCAGATCAGCAAGACATACATTTACAGCTGTCAAGATTCCTGGGGAGCTAGACTGCTGTCTCTGTCTCCTCCATTTCTTTACTAAAATCCAGACAGCATCTCAAAATGCTCTCCATTACACCTGCTTGTTGGAATATTTGGCTCCATAGAGTTCAAACACTTCTTTCTACAGAATACCCCAGTGAGGCAGAAAAGTGGTATTATGCTAATTTTTGAGACCAAGAGCTCAAACACAGGGCACCAGCCTTCCAACAGGATAAAACGACTCGTCCAAAGTCACACAGGGATTCTGCAAGGAAGCAGGGACTAAGTGCCAGGCTAAAAATTGAGTATTTACTCGCATGCACACAGTCATCCCACAGGGTCCATCTACAGCATCAGATATGGCAAGGTGCCACCACCAGGACTTCCACTATCTCTCTTCCACAGGTAAAGAGAAAGACATTTGGAAACACTTCAAGCACCTTCATTCTCCTTTGGAATCTATCACCAGCCGTAACAATCAGCAATTTTCTTAAAAGCAAATTTTGTCAGTTTCAGAGAAGTAAAATCCAAATCCAGCAAATAACTGCAATTTATCTACACCTAATCTCGTGCTTCACTACAAAGCAAAAATTTTTCCACTAGAAAACAGTTTGCAAGTGTAGTTTTATTGGCACACGCTCTCAGCGCAGGCAGAGATTATACTTGGAGAACAACTCAGGAATAGATAACAGCAGCTCCTTGAAGGATATAAATTACAACGGCAAAACCACAGGCTTTTGGTCACAATTGCTTCCATATTAGAGTTTTACTTTTTTTTTTTTAAGGCATTAAAAAACCCCACACCCAAACTAATCAGTGCTCTTAGAGCATCAAACATCTCCAGCGTAACCCAGGCCTTAATTAGGTGAATTTCCTCTCACGTTACACAGAGAAAACCCAGCTTGTCTCTTCAGAGCAAACCCAAATCCTTCTGCGACCTACTCGGAGCAGGCCCTGGTGTTCTTCTGAAGATGCAAGTCCTGAGGCTGCAGATGCATGAAGGAGGGTGAGCTGAGCTGAGCTGAGAGCCCACTGCCACTGCAGGAAGGGCTGGTCTGGCTCTTCTGCCCTCCGGCACAGCTCCAGAACTTGGTGGAAAACTCTGCAGAACAGTCCAGTTCACTAACCCAGCAAGAAATAATCGACCAACCCAACCCCTAGCCTCTGCCTGGATCAGCAAGTTAAATTAGCTTAGAGAACGGGCTGACGATTACTACGACCAAGCCAACACCCTGGGATAGGATGATTTGGCCATAAGCAGAAGGCAACATAAGAGGAGCACAAGGAACTAGATTTCTTTTAGATTCCGTTTAGGCTGGCTTAGCTGCCTGTGAAATTATAGAGTAATTCATCTGGTTTATCTTAAAGTAATACTAATGGCTCAGACAAGACATCGTTTCAATTAAGGAAGCTTAAAATGCCAAGTGAATATCCTCACAGTCACCAACAATTTGCACTCTAACTTGATGTCACTGAAGACAAGAAGTGTAAATTAGCTGAAGCCTCTTTCACCAAGGTTTAAAGAACACAAACAGTTGTTGTGTGTCATATTTTAGGGAAGTTGGACTGTTAATGTCTTTTAGCTATGGACAGTAACTTTATAAACCACCATAATTCCTCTGCCTGTTCTCCAGCGTGTGCCGGCTTTGGGATCATTCACATACTAGTTCTACTCTTACTGTTGTTTTTCCGAAATGAAGACAAGACGTCAGTCCAGTTCTTTTTAATTTGCATTACTCAGACTGATTTTCTTTCCAGTCAGCAGGCTTTTACCTGCTCCCACGACAGCTCGGTCATTCCAGGCAGTTAGATTCATAGGCATGACCTGGTAATACAGGTAAACTTTAAATGGGAATGTTGAAACTGTCCGGTTCCATCAGAAATCATATTTTGAGAGGTAGTTGGAAACACGCAACAAAAATAGCGCTGCTCATATCTCATCATTAACATATATTAATTAATCAATACTGCGGTGATCCTGTGAGGTACAAGTAGATAATTACTCCCATTATATTTATGAGGAAACCAATAGAGATATATTTGCATTGGCTACAGAAGGACTTAGCTTCAGATCTATAACTAATTCTTGTGAGACCAAAATCAAAAGTCTTGCCTCAAATTCCTCCTGAGCGCTGGCTCTCATCCAGCTGTGGATGAAAACTGGGTAAGTGAAATGGTTAATGCAGCCAGCTGCCTACTTTGTTCTTCTGACAGAGTATGCGGCCCCATGGCAGCGATAACCAAACTGCTCTCAAACCATGGTAGTTTCCAAACTAATTTATTAATGTAAAACAGCCTTAATTTCAGTTTACTTTAAAATCCTGGGTTGAAAATTGAAATACCTCCAACATTGCGTTATAAGCTACTTCATCTTGCCTGCTTTCGGAGAGACTACCTCTCTTGGAGAGGGAGGGAGCACAAAACTGGGGGCAGTAACTGTGTCAGCTGCTCCATTTCAATCTTTAGCAATATGTAAGTCAAAACTCTCATGTTCCTATTGCTTATTATTTTGGAGAAACTCTTTCCTGACTTGGAGGGGTGATCAAGACAAATTGTAACATGCATCTTAGCTCTGGTTTTCACTGCAGATTTGGTAGCTGTGTCCCTGCTCTCCCTAGCCCATGCATACTTATTGCTCTCTTTCTTTACTCTGTCTTTTTTCTTTTAAATAATCATCATAAGCAGATGCACATGAGACAGATCATCATTTCACAACAGGTCCTACCTAGCTGGTGGGCTGTCGCACCTGTTTTTCTTTATGGCTGTTTTCTTCTTTCCTCTTATGTAATCATGAAGCCCATTTATCCTTTTTAAAAGGTATCTCTGGTTTAATCTGAAAACTTTATACTTAACTGGGTCATCTTGGCCCATTTCCTCTAATTTAATACTTTCTAATCCCCTTCAAATTGTTTCATCCCAGCTTTCACTCAGTCAGAAATCATTCACCCATACTTAGATTGCATTCTCAATGACTGTATTAACTACACATATCCTGGAATCAATCAAAAAAGCTGCTACCTCTCTCATAGAGGACGGCAGCTGATTAACAGCACACATCAGTGTTGCACAACGATTCCAGAAAGCAGCAGAATAACACGATATCGAACTGAAACTGCACAGAGGCAGAACACGACTGAAATTTGGATAAAACACAGGAAATTAAAACAGTGTAATTCACAGCTTTAAGATTTATGTTAAAAGTCTGATTCAGAGTTGAGGCTGACAGACTGTCCTTGTGCTCATACAAAGCACAGAGAGCTAAGCGCTAAGATCATTCTGCAAAGCCTGAATTACCAGCATAATAGAGATGTACAGGGCAGCGTGGCTTTTCCTCCAGATTTCTTTCCTGCTGTGAACTAGAACTTTACAATTTCAAATGGTGACTATTTAACACTAAAATCCAACATATTTCCAGCTACAAAGAAACAATAGGAGGACTGGCAACAAAGTAAGAAACCACTGATTTTGAATGAAAGACTAACCCAACAGCAAAAGAAAATAACTATTCAATGGTTGTGTCAAGAGGCCTGTTTGAAACACATTGGTGGTTCAGTTAAAATCTCCCCTCCCGATCAACTTACCCTTTGCTGCAACTCGCTCTACAAAAGCCTGTGATTGTAGTGGCACTGGCATTATGAAGGCCCATGTGCCAACTACACAACCTGCACCCTCGAGATAATACATCTGGGACAAATTTGACCGCATTCAGAGCAGCCCTGTTTCTTGCTACCTGTCCTGTAGATAGGATTTCTCTTGCTAACTCAGTCTGCCAAGGAGGTACAATCAGAAATCAGAACGTCAAAGTTATCTCCAGAATCTGACAGCCGCTAGATGGGCATTTGGTCACGCCTATAAAAGAGGTATGGGGAACAGCGATACAGGACCGGTCAGCGAGAGAGATGGATGACAGTGCGGTACAAGGTAAGTTACCCCTTTCAATCTGACAGGCTTCAAACTTTGAATTCATTTGCTTGTTTACTGAAGTGACAGGATGGATACCATCTACATTCAAGACTTCTGAGAGAAGTCGTTTAAAAGAACAAAGTAACAGGCCTCAAGCATGAGATTTAGACAACTTGAAATCAGTTCATACTGACATTCAAGACTCAGTGGTTGTGGCTTGGATCAACACATTCAACTCTAATATTAGCTGCCCCAGGTTTTCTGCTTTTGCTATACAATACTACTTTTATGGTGTACTCATCCCCATTCACCAAGTCTGCAGTGGCGTTAAGCTTCCTTGCACAGCTTTGGTACCCATCTAGTACGTCCAGGAAATGGATGGCAATCTCCAGCTTTCAGTAGTACCCTTTCTCTGATCAAGACTAAGATTCGAAAGATTGCATGATTCTCCTTCTATTTCTCTGACACAGAAGCAGAAATAACACACCAGCCAAACCAAGGGAAGAATTAAATTCTACTGTTCCATGCCTTAAGCGTCTTGCAAATACCACACCAGTGGCACTCTCCAATTTAGCAAACTGCTGATAACCATTGTAACCATTTCTCTGCTCTTTTTAGACAAACCAACAGAAACAAACTTTTGAGCTTTCATCAACTGACTGGGTTTTTTTGTCTTGTACTTACACTACTGGAAAAGTTCTGAGCATACTTTACATGGGGATGAGACGTTATAAAGCCTCTTGGGGGTCTTCAGTGTTATTCACCATTCTGTAGGACAGACAAACAAAAGATTAAAAAAAAAGTTAGAGATTTTTATGAAAGGCAAATACATCCTGACTTCTTGTTATCTGGGTAACAACTATACAACTAGAGTTTTATTACAGAGGGCAACCTTACGGCAGCCTCACCAGACAGTAGCCTCAAATCATTTCTGATCAGGAAAAAGAAAGGAAGGTCCTTCAGGATCCTTCTCAATCATCTCATCCGTTCCTCTGCTCAGAGGCAGTACAGTGTATACCAATCACTAAATATAATCATAGTTAAGAAAAACGTTCCCTGGAATCACTGAATTTTCTTATATTATCTTTCAAATTGTTTGCATTATTTTATGGATTGTCAAGACCCAACCCTCTTGCTTCCTTTGCCTTCAGTGGGAGCTTTAACATGGTTCACAGCAGACCCCCAGTCTTAAAGACTAGTAAATAATTCTTTACATCCAAATACCCTATGAATTTTAACGATTCAAGTTATTAATGGATGCTTTATAGATCTCAACAAGGCCAAACGGCTGAGTATTCTGAGGCTGTGTATAGCCATAGATTTAAAACTGGAAATGTTCAATCACATTACTCTTGGTAATCCGTAACTAATCCAGATCTGTATATAATCATAGACATATACTTCAATGCACATAGTGAGACTCCTAAGGAGAAAGTTGATGTCTGGTAGCGTAATCAGTCCAGAGACTAAAATTTAAATTACAATTGATTTCTTTTAGCCACAAGTAAATTAATCTATGCAATCATTTACCCTTATGACAGTTACCTACCCTTTTAACTCACAAAAGCTATTAAAAGGATTATTTGGCTAACATCCGCAAAGAGCTTAGAAGACAGGTACTATGTTCTGAAAAGGAATGACCTAATAGAATTTTCTTTAGCTATCACTGCTGATGTCTTTCTCCACAAACTAACATGGACTGAAAGTGCTTCAAAAGCAAAACTACTAACCAATGGGAAAGAGAAAGACAGGATATTATATCCAGGCAGTCGTGGCAAGAGATAGGGGGAACATTTACACTTCAGGCTATGGGTGTACGCAAGCCTGGAAACAACTGAGCAGAGCAGCACAGAGATTTGCATGCTCATAATTTACCCTGCTCCATAAGGAGCTTGTCCGTAATATTAGCACCTAGGCCCTGCGCACGGACAGATCTTGGCTCTCTCACCCGCTGGGGGTGGCGCAGACACCATAGCACAGCCCTTCCTCTACTGCACCACAGGACCTGCTATATTCACACTTTGGGGAAGAACTGGACCTGTGCCAGATGGAGTCCATTGCTTATACACAGCCTACAACAGGCTCACTAGGTACACACTGCATTTATGCCACTTTTTTCTTTTTTTTCCCCCCCATGAATAACTTGGGAACTCTCAAGGCAAAGACTATGGGTGAAAGACTTTTTCCAGAAGTAGCAGCAGGCAGCTTCTGGCCATCAACTTTCCTAGGGCCTTCAAATCTTTCCCCCTTGTGACTGCTCACACCTCGATGTGGAGAAGGAAAGACCTGGGTGTTTTCTGGGAGAAGGGAGCTGCTGAGAGCTGGCTGCTGCCATTTCCAAAACAGTTCATTTGGCCCACATCTGAGTCTCGAGCTGCCTTCTTCCTCTCCAGGAAAGGAGGCCACCAAGAGCAAGTCACAGACATGATCAAGGGTCCCAGCACACCACAGGTCAGGTACTGTGGCCTAGGAGAGAAACTGTGACACTAAAGTACTGATGGATGGAAAATAAAAACACCCAGGTCCATTGCAGTTAGCCACCCCAAATATTTTAAAGATAGTTCTACACCAAAGCACTTCTCTGTTGTATCTCTCAACCATATCTAAAACATTTTCCCTGAAGCAGTCACAAAAAACATGAGATCATGCTGTTGACTTATTGCCAAATTTTGAGTTTAATACAGAGAACTGTTTTGTTTTCCAAAGAGGAACAAATTAGTCTTAAATATATACAAACTTTCTGAAGGTCAGAAAGGCTAATGGTAGAGAACTGGATTCCTCGCAGAAAGATTTGCTTCCAGGCTGAGGAGTGTGGAAGAAGCAATGAACATAACCCACAACAGAAAGGAAAGATCACCTTCCATCATCGTGAAACACAATATTAAAACTGGAATGGGATGAGATGACCTACAGAGAGCCAAAGAAAAGGCTGCAGTAACTCAGGTGAGAGATGACAAAGGCAGGACAATAATTTCAGTGATACTAATGGAAGAGGGAAAAAAAATGGTACAGTTTTCAGATGTTATAAATGAAGAGCTATTAGGATCTAGCCTAGCTTTGAGACATGAACAGAGGAGGGAGAAGGAACTCTTCCAAGACACCCTAGATCTATAAACACAGATATGGAAGATGATAGCATTTCAGCAGAAATAAAGAGAGAGGAACAAAGAAGAGCTTATACGAAAATAAGAGAAATTCTCCATTTTTGCTAATTTAAAGGTTGGGATGATAGCGTTACAATCTGGACGCAATTGCAAAGTGTCACAGACAAAGCTAAACAGTAAGACAGGTCAGGGAATCCTCAGGGCTGACTTGTAGCTGGAATTGCAAAAGAAAATGAAGTTAAACAGAAAGAAGAGGAAATCCGTGCATTCTACATCTGATGCCAGAATAGCACGGCAGCTATTGAAACGGGTTACAAACGGTCTTTGACTCAAAGCTGGTCTGAAGTTCAACGGCACAGAAATACCCTCCCTCCCTGCCCCACGCACACGAAGGTTGCTCAAGAGTTGCTGTAATTTAAGGGCTCATCAGAATGGAAACAGGCAATCGCTTCCTACAATTTTAGCCAAATTATTCAGCCCAAAGCAATGCAGCTTCCAACAATAACAAATCATGACTCTCAAAATCATGAATCAATATCCCTTTTTCACCCATTCCCCTTCTTTTGTCATAAACTAAAGTGCCAAACCAGGCTTAATCACAGCAGCAAAAGCAGGTGTCACCACAATCTATAGTTGATACGCAAGTAAGAACTCACAAACCTTTGCCCTCTTCGCATTATTCATTAAATAAATTGCTTGTTAATAAAACACAGGGAAAACATACTACCAACAACCCTTCCTATTTCTGGTACCGATAATAAAAAATTCAATATTAATATGGAAATCATGGCCACAGTTGTAGAATCAAATGTAATGAACAATCTTGTCCCCAGCTTAAGTTGCTATAAAGGCAGCTTAAATTTACAATGGATGAGTCTTCATGGCAATCTGTTTTTCAGATATTAAAAATCTCATTTTCTCGGTGCCAAGGACAAGTGGATGTGTGAAGCACTGGAGTATCAACTCTGTATTTGTCTCACTTGACATGAAATCATTCTCATTTTAGTTCAGGTTTTTAATACGTTCTTGGGATCCACTTCAGTTTTCTTCATTTCTCATTGTATGCAATTAGATGTTTTGAAGTACAGTTCACCCTGATCCACAACTCCCTGCAGAAGCAAGGAGGAAGTTACTTGGTAAAGATGAGGCTGATCTCATTTATTTGGAAAAGAAATTGATTTTCCTTTTTAATTTTTTGAGTGAGTCACTTAGTGAAAAATAACATCACCACTTTGTATTTCACTAATACCTTCCTTCGTAAGTTCTTAAAATGGGCTTTACAAATAACAAATTAAAAAGCCCTGTGTCCTTGTGAAAGAGAAATATCACCATTTTGTAGAAGGTAAATCATGAACAGGATAAATTTTTGGCTCAAAGCTAAAAAGGATAGTATCAGTGGCTGAATACGGTATTTGCCCAAGGATATAGGCCCTGCAACTATCAGGGCCACCGGCTAATGAAACGCCGAAGAACCGGGTTCCAGCTCGTCGATAAACCTGGTGTACTGGATGGCGAAGCAAAGAGGAGCCAAGTCAGCCCCATAAATGAAGTTCTGCTGCTGCTGAATTTGCGGTAAAGCCAGATTCTCAACCCTGTGCAAAATCACAAAGCAATCCTCCCTTAGAAGTAACAGAAAACTTGACAAATCGAAGTTAACTGACAGATGTGCAGTTTAAGGTCAGTAGGAACTGCTAGGTCTTCTGGATGGACTCTGTGTGCGCGTGCGTGTGTCTAAAGGCCATTATATTTCATCTGCTTCTCCCTCTCTATACTGAGGCCCCCATAAAGGAAAACAAACCTGTTACTGACTTAACTTTTGTCCAGAAGACATCTTGCCTCAAAGACACCAAGAGATCAAGAATCCATCGCTCTTCTTAGTAGCTCGTTCTAGTGGCTAATCACCATTGTCATTAAAAATTTGTACTTTGAACATGGCTGGCTTTAGATTCCAGATAATAGTTCCTGTTAAGCCTTTCTCTGCTTGATTGGAGAGTGCTTTATTGTTGGGCGATGTTCAGGCAGGTTGTTGTTTACCCAGTGATTTGAAAAGTCCAAGTATTGTATTTGTTTCAAAACTTAAAGATAAATTCATCTGGGTACAAGCACAAAAGTAGGACTAGCGTCCAAAATACGAAAGCAAATCTAGGACTCTAGCCCATTTTCCCAAAATAGGTCTATTAAAAAAAATACACCCTGTCATATGACTTGAGGATGTGTTACATCTGTGCCCTGGAAAGCAAGGTTAAGAACCTTCTCTAAGCACTGGCTTGCCTTGCCACCTCCTGAGCTCGCGTTGGGGCTTGGCAGCACGCAGCATCCAGTTTCAGCAGTCAGTGTACCATGACACCAGGAGGAGAGCTGCCTTTTAAGTCTCCAGGCTCCAAGCTATTTAAATGATTACTTTAAGTTAGTTTTTTTAATTTGTATCCTGAGCAAGTTCTCATGAAGACCCTCAAGAACATGCACAATGAGCTCCCCTCAAGCATCATAACTAAGCAAGCAAAGCAGACACTGTGCCTTTGCTGCAGCTTCTGGGTTACCCCAAACTGCAGTTTGCATAGAGCATGTTAGCTCAATCACAAGGGAACATGGGATGGTTTCCTACGGCGGAGACCATGTCCTACAGGATAGGTTGTGACCTCCAAACCAAAGGGAGGTAGGGAC